TTCATGTTGCACTTATTCTTGTGAGATAGTTTGTAATGCCCCTCCATCCCCTCCCCTATCAAAGATGAGTCCAGGGAGGATATTGTTTTGCAAATGCCGCTTGGGCAGTTAGTAGGTTGGTGTTTTGTAGACACTTCATTTTCAATCAATAGCTAGAGAACTAGAGGCTCCTCAAAATTCACTCACTATTTTTGCACAAAATTCATTTCTGAGTTCTTCGTAGCTGTCTCAATTTCCAAACTCAATTTTGAGATCTCAAAATTTAATAACTTTAATTTTTTGATGAACTCATAGTTAATCACTTATTAAGCATCTGAGATTTGAGCTGAGAAAGTGTTATAACCTTGGGGCCTAAGTTTAGGAACTTTCTTTTCGAATGCCTAGACTTATCTGTAAAATAAGGAGATGTCAGTGTTCTTTGGACCTAAAAGCATTTGGGTTTAAAAGGGCATTAAGGAAACCCCCAAGCCATTTTTTTTAATTTTCTTATAAACTTGTTTCAACAGTTATGATCTTTTTTGATTTTATTATGATTAAAAAGTTGTTCTTATTCGACTTTGCTGAAACAAGTGCCATATACAGAACATTTCTACAGATTATTTTTCAAAATAGTTTCTTTATCAAAAGGGAATGTATATAAAGTTCTGGCAAATTTTTATATCTGTGTTTAATTAGTAGAAGGTGTTCAAGAAGAATTGTTTTGTTTTGTTATATTGTTTTACTTTATATAAATATATCATGTTATTTTCTGTTTTTTAAAATTGGTGCTTCATTTTAATTAACAGTCATATATTTTATTTTCATGTAAGCATACATTCTTGTTTTACAGGCTAAGTTTTATATTTCAAACGGTCAGTTGCTTTTACTTGGGGTACATCGCTTCTAGATGCCAAGTGATATGGGATATTTTATAATAAAATACATGTAGTAGCATAATATAAAGTTCTGGCAAATTTTTATATCTATGTTTAATTAGTAGAAGGTGTTCAAGAAGAATTTTTATACCCCCCAGTTTGTAAGTATTAAGAGCAGATAGTAAACTGTTGAAAATCGTCTTCATTTTTCTTTATATATTGTGGAAAACCCATCTCAGATACTATTTGTAGAAATGTGAAATAATTGTATATCATTACTAACTTCATCCGAAATGCAGTCAGTCAAGCATTTTGTCTGATTTATAGCCCTTTTAGCTAACCTGTCATGCAGTGACAAGATGAGCATCTGTGACCATGTGTCCATCCATCCATACTTAAACAACATCTCCTCATAAACCACAAGGCTAATTGTAACTAAACTTAATAGAAATGTTCCTTGCATTGTTTTCTATTAAAGTTATTCAAAGCATTTCATTCTGTGCAAACTCTGATTGCCATGGTAACCAAATGAAAAACTTAGATCTTCTTCTCCAGAACTGCAAGGCCTGTAACTAAGATATTTTGCATGTACATGTTAGTGTTGACTTGTTTACCTCTACCAAGTTTGTTCATATCTTGGCCCCTCCCTGGTGCATATCAGGGTTACATAGGAATATATGGTGAAAACTTTGTAAATCTTCTTCGGAACTGAATAGCCCAGACCTTAATTATACCGTTCTCAAACTTAGTTTTTGAGATCGAAAACGCTTTGTGAACACGGGGTCTGAAATCTTATTGTCTAATAATGCGTTTGTTTACAATGTGGCCGCCGCACTTTTGGTTAGGGTCATGAATTACATAAAAGTTATTCTTATCGCATTAATCTTATAAGCTTTAACTTTTTTCTCAATAATATTTGATTCGTATAATTAACTAAGAACCATATTTTGATTACCTCCCTTTATTTATTTAACTGTACATGGGCAATAGTAAAATTAGAGCTCTCACCAAACCTTTCAATTATGCACATTCTTTATTTGGACAACTCTTTAATCGATTTCGAATTTTATGGTCCGAACGACAGTTGTCCTTTTTTATTAATTAATCATGGGCAGACTGTGTTTAAGTCCTTTATGACGAAACCCTGGAATAACAGAGTTAACACTTTAATTATTAGTTAAAAATCCAGTTTATTCTTCAATGTCCAATTTTCGAATGATACTGGGACAGTTGAAGCTGGAAGTTTTGTTCAACTCTGTTAAACCATATGCAAATAAACATTAATGTATAAAATCTCCTATGAAGGAAACATTAGGATGATTTCCTGCAAAAGTTACTATTTTTGTTTAACTATATATTTAGGCATTTAGATAGAGATAGAAAAGAAAGGAGTAAGCTGACTGTTTATCAAGACTTGTTTGTTTAAGTGCTAATTGTCACTTAATGTAGCTTGGCTTTAAAGCTTGATATAAAGTTCCTTTAGCAAGTCTTTGTTAGACAGCTTACATAAAATAAAACTAAAGTGAAAAACACTATTTTTGTGTCGCCTTGAAAAGGTGACATATAGGGGTTACTTTTGTCGGCGGCGTCGGCGTCGTTGTCGGCGTCCCCTAAAGCTTGTCCGGAGCATAACTCAGTCACTATAAGTCTGATTGACTTCAAACTTGGTATGCATGCTTCTTTCAATAACCCGAAGTGCAGTGCACAAGGACCGGTACTCTGCAGTTCTTATTTTTTGAGTTATTGCCCTTTGTTAATTTTTATTACTTTAATTTTGTCCGGGCCATTTCTCTTCAACTAAAAAAGCTATGGACTTGAAACTTCATAGGATGATAGATCTCATTAAGAAGAAGTGCAGTGCACAAGAACCGTTACTCTGCACTTCCTAATTTTTGAGTTATTGCCCTTTGTTGATTTTCTTACTTTATTTTTGTCCTGGTCATTTCTCCTCAAGTATGAAAGCTATGGACTTGAAACATCATAGAATGATAGATCTTATTGATAAGAAGTGCAGTGCACAGAAACTGCTGCTCTTCACTTATTATTTTTTTAGTTATTGCCCTTTGTTATTTTTCATATTTCATTTTTGTCCTGGCCATTTCTCCTAAACTACATTGTTTACAAGGCGACACATCCGACTCGCGGAGTTCTAGTTAAGTAAAATTGTAACTATTTTAAAGTTACCAAAATAAAACTATTATATTTGAAATCTACATTTAGAAACAAAGATTTTGATATAAAATATGAAATGTCTATTTTAAAAATAATGATTGTGATGTAAACTATCACAATCATTCATAATGTAAAAATATGGATCATAATACTAACATTAAAATAAAGGCACTATGGGACTTTAAATCTTAGTTTTCTTATGCTGGCTGTAATTCAATGTGTTTTTTTTTCATATCAAAAGTCAATTTTGTATTTTTTCCGGCAGCACGATTAACCCAACACCACCCCACACCACTGTAATTACCCAACACCACCTAAAGTTATAATGAAAAGTGTGAAATAAAGCTTGAATAGATGTTAAAAACCTTTCTTCTTTGATATTTGATAGTTTTGAATGGATATTCTTAAGAAAACGTACAAATTTATGGGCGAAAAAAATTATACTTCTATATAATTTACCCAAAACTGCTTGTAATAACCCAACACCACTTAAATTTATAAACAAAAGTGTCAAATAAAGCACAATTTTATGTAAAAAAACTTTCTTGTTAGATATTCAATAGTTGTTATTTGGCTGTTTTCATAATTAGAGTGGTGTTGGGTAATTGCATATAGCGTTTGGTAGATTATTAAAAATACCGTAAGTATAAACAGTTTGTATTGGGGAAATTATCTTCTCTTTTCAGCCATAATTTATGTTGCTCTCATTCAGGAATATCAGTTTACAACTATTAAATATCTAACAAGAAAGGTTTATATATTCATTTTGTGCTTTATTTGACACTTTTGGTTATAAATTTATGTGGTGTTGTGTAATTACAAGTGGTGTTGGGTAAATCAATTTGTACATTTTTTTTCGTCCAAAAAGTTTTTTTTTTAGTAAAAGTATCCATTCACAACTATAAAATATAAAACAAGAAATGTTTTTACATCTAATTTGTACTTTATTTGACACTTTTCGTAATAAATGTAGGTGGCGTTGGGTAATTAAAGTGGTGTTGGGTGGTGTTGGGTAAATCATGCCTCCCATTTTTTCTGGCCGTAATATCGAAATAGGGGGATAGCCATTATGCTGGATCAGATTAGAATTTAAATTTATAGGCAGATTAGTTCGTTCTTATAAAAAAGACCATTTCAGGGAGTTGACCTCTGAGGAGTGGGGGTTTACTGTTTGTGACAAAAAACGAATGTACTGGAACAGGGCCAATGCCATAGTGTATAAACAAATCCTTGTACCATTTCTTGCAAGTATATATAATTATCTTGAGAGTACAAACAAAATTAATGCTACTTCCAGTCGCTACCATTCTTGTGAGCGTTTATAAATTAACTGTACTTTTCTTGCGAAACAGGAAGTAATCTTGTTTATATTCTGTGAATGTTCTTTGCACATATTGAAACTGCAGAAGACATCTCGTAAACCACTGAGCAAATCAAAAAGATGCATCGGAGGAATGATAATTAGCATTTTTTGACCCATCAAACAAGAAATAGCAGTATATTGTCTGGATATGCAGGGTGGAGCTATTTTCTTGGAAGTCTTTTTACAAAAATAATACTCATTGACACAATTTAATGATTAAGGGCTTATCCCATTTCACTAGCTTCTACCGATTTTTCTCAGAACTCGTACTAGTATTTAAATTAAGGCAGTTGCTACCGGTACAGATCCGTACCCGTAGCCTATACTGACTGGATTGACTACGGGTACGGAAATAAACCTTAGTTTTATGCTTTCCGTTTTATCAGTTTTTTCATTCCTCCAAAATGTGACACGACCCCTGAGCCCCAACCGCATCACCACTTCCCAAAGTGAAAAGAAATTTTATTCCAGAATTTACCAGTTTTACTTTTTTATTTAAATGCGTGTGACATCACTTAACCCCTGCATCTAGCGGGAGGACATGTCCAACCATCACATATATATATATTTTATTCCATGTTGCTAAGAAGTATAATGTAAGAAGAAACACAAATGGGAATACTATTTAATCGAAATGAATGAAGCAATCAATTATGGCTTTAAAACAGGTATTAACCCGGTAAGTGTCTGTCAGCCAAACTTGAAGGCATTTTTGTCAGTTACAGTAATGATCTTACATGTTGACGAATTTCCTGGTATAAATTGTGCGCACCGGCAGCATCCTTAGGAGGAGCGATACCATATTCTGCCAGAAATGATGTACACAGTTCATATATATCATCATCACATGGTTTAGATGATCTAAATGTTGCACTCTCTTTGCAAGTGTCTATATCCTCAGTAGCAACTGGACACAGGTAGTCACGTGCATTCCAAAGATTCGAAAAATTATACATCAAGGCCGGCCTTCCAGAGGGAGCAACAGAGTTTCTCGTCGGACGAATATGATGGTTGTTCCAAATATCTTTAGCAATATCAAGCTCATTCTAAAGAAAAAGAACAGCATATTTTAAGTATAAAGGTCATTTTGATACCCCTAATATATAGCCAAAAACATTTATAATATATACATATATATTTTATATAAATGTAGACATGAAAGACTATACATGTAATACATACATGTAATTATATAACAAGAGCCAAAATAACTTAATCGTTCTCCTGACTAATATCGCTTATATATTTTAAGTGATAATAAAGCTTAGGAATGACTATGATTTACGGGTCCTTAATGCTAGAACGAGAATTAAGTATCACATGACATCGATTCTAGCTGACATCCCAGAGTTTCGCCAGGATTACGGGAGTACTTTTGATGATTTTAGACGCCATTTTGGGCAATTTGTAACATTAACTTGAGCGATCTAATAATTAATGTTTTTAATGCCCATATGGGTAAACGAGATCTATTTACTCCAATTACTTCACCCAGGTGCTACCTGAGTCATGAAAGGTAAAACTACTGAAATTACTGGAAGACTGATCAATAACGCATCATCCTTTAAATTATATTCAATAACCACTTTATACTGCATGTATTTGTCTCTGGAATAACACGTAAATACTTTATTTTTACCTGTATTAATGATAAAAAGCAGAAACGCAAGATATTCTTGTCCACGAAATCGCCAGAGAAGTCCCCTGTATCTTGTATATGACTGAATGTTTGAATCCAGTAGTTCATATGTTCCCGACGAAGATACCCCCACCAACATTCTATCCGTTGGTTGGCTGTACTTGTCCCTTCAATGTAGGAGCGCTGGTACATTTCGTCGTTTCTCCTTAGAAATATCTGAAAATCTCGAACTCGAACATTTTCTGTGCCATAATCTCCCCTTAATAATACTGGAGAACCGCCCAATTCTTCTACTGCTTCCAAGTAATATCCACCAATGACACGCGGGTCATTGTTTGTGTGAAATGCGTTCAACCAAATGACATTTCTCGAAAAACCACAGATACATCCACTCACACAAATACCAAAAGGTTTCATCTTGTCATAACCGTCCAAGTGCCAAATGAAATTAGGGCCTGGTGCATAATACTGTCTTCTTTGAAGTCGTCTGGCCGACCTTAGAGACGATCCAACAGGGTCCATATACTTCAAAATCAAGCGCACATCGTTCACTCTGACATTAAGACCATAGGCTTGGCAGCGTGCGTGCATTATACGATAACCATGTTGTTGACCTGATTCCTGTAATTGACTGTGTATAAAGTCAACAACTTGCCTTAAATCATCGTAATTTCTTCGGGCTAATCCCTGCGCTCGCATCAACCTTCTTAAATGCCTTAGTCCGATACAAATGTTGTGCCTCTCTTCTAACATATTTTGAATATCCTGATACTTCAAACCCATTTCAAAATACTGTTTAATTAAAACATCTCTATCCATTTTTCTGACAACAAGATGCAAGAAATTGATTGGTTGAATTATGTTGTGGGAACAACATAATTAATTTGTTCGCACAACTTATTATCTTGAGGGAACAAGATATTGAAAAAAATATAGCAGAAAATAGTTTGTTCCCACAGAATAAAAAAAAGATTTTTCTCACAAAATAAGTTGTTCCCACAGAATAAAAATTCTTTTTTACTCAAATTAAGTTGTTCCCACAGAATAAAAAAAGATTTTTCTCACAAAATATGTTGTTCCCACAGAATAAAAAAAGATTTTTCTCACAAAATATGTTGTTCCCACAGAATAAAAAAAGATTTATCTCACAAAATATGTTGTTCCCACAGAATAATAAAAAATACTTCGACAAATAAGTTGTTCCCACAGATTATTAAAATAAATCGACTATGTCCTCTCCATGCTTCCGTACTTCTCCTTTAAGGGCGAACATATTTTTGTTCCAATATTTTGTCAGTGTGAGCGTGGGCTTAAGAGAGCGTGGGCTTATATATAGTAGATAAGTCATCTTCATTTTTTGAAAAATGTGATATGGTACGTATCATTAGATATAGAATCTAGTTATAATAAATTTTATTGTAGGAATTTATTCAAAATTATTACTGACGGTCCATTGTCTTCGTGAAACACCAATATAGTCATCAAAATATGAATTGGGTTAACATATTTGTATTGTGAATAACTCTATTATTAAGTACTTTATTACGTGGTTTTCTCATGTACATTTTGGGTTTGTCAGTTTTGGTTGGTTGTATTGTTATTACAAATAGTGTTTTACATTGAATGATCCAGTTATTATGTATTACAAAGTTAATCTTGAACAAGCAATATGTTATCATATGATTATTATAGTTTACCTACTATTGTTCTCCGCTGATTAATAAGTAATACATTTACCCGAGAAAAACAGTTCAAGTTTAAATACGGTATTAGTTTATGTATCGATCCAGTGTTCAGGTATGATGTAGCTAACCGGGACTGTAAAGATGTACCTCATGACCTTTTTTCCTATATTCCTATTTTTCTGAAATTGATGACAATTTTATGGATACTTAAGTGAAGCATACAGCTTAAGAGCAATAAATACAATGCAGAAAATAAGAACGATTGGTTTGTAGAAAAAACGATGTGATGCGTACAATTTAATTTGATGCCTTGAGAAGCAAATATAAGATTGTAAGTATTTCCTGAATGTATATCAGAACTATGATATGATCTGCTAATTGCTTCCTTTCTTTGTAATTCAATGCCAAACCCCACTATACGTGAAGTGAAACGCAAGCGTTTATTAGTTATACGTGATAATGCCACTTTTTATCAACAAAGTTGTGAGTTTTGACAAATTCGAATTTAGTAACCTGTCACGTTCATGTGCACCAAAACCCTCCGCTGTTTCGTCATTTATATTTCTAAAAGCCACACTACGCCCGGGGTCTGTTTTTCTGACAGAAAGTGCTAATAACACGTAATATTTTGGAATGTTGAAACCAAAGTTTACGTGCGTTTATTGTCTTTTCTGTAGGTCTCTCCGGTTTTCTTTTTACGACCCTTATTGCACTTACATGTATGACATTTTGGATATTATTAGCCGGTATATTTTGTATATTATCGTCAATATTGTTCCTGTGGAAAAAAATGTTGATATTCTAATCTCTAACATGCCTACCAAAGTTCGTGATGAACAATGTATTTTGTCTGCCCATTCATAAATGATATACAATTCTGGTTAAAACCAATTAACCATTGAAAAAATTATAAGAATATCTGGTCATCAGATGTCTACTAGTTCATCTTCACTTGCTGTATTTCTTGCTTGGACGCCCTTTGATGCTTTGCATCAATGCTTTTCTTGTATATATAATGTACTGCAATTCGTCTAACAAATAGGTTTCGTATCTCAATTACGTGATATTTTTAAAGGGTAAATACGATTAACATTAGAAATGTGATATCTCTGTTTACTATTATTTATTTATTTATTTATTTATTTATTCATTTTTAGATTTATTTATTTTTAGATTTATTTATCTACTTCTAGTTATCAAACTTTCCTCTATATGTATATGAAAGTAATTAAAGAATTTAAACTTTCTAATTACATAGGAAAACTTCCTTACTTAGATAAGTAATGCATTGAAAAGATTAAAATTTTAAGACAAAATCTTGTCTAAACAAATTTGCAAGCACAAGTATTATATTATTTACACTAAAAACAAGTGTTTTGCTGGTCAAAACACTATTTCTTCCTTTAAAATAAAAAATAAATGCATCTATGTAACATTTTACGTTAGGAAATATATCTTTAGGCCAAAAAAAATGTCTGGTTCAGGAAACATTGGTCCAAAAAATTAGGAGGGTAGGGATTTTTTTGTTGTTGGGAGAATGTCTTATCAGTATATAGATGTGTTGCTTGCTTAACATACTTAAACAAAGATTGTCATCAATCAATGCAAACACCATTTTGTAATTAACTATCAGCATGTGATATTGTGTTGTGTAGTCATTTCACCATGTAGCACCTGTATTCATACTAATTTGCTTTCTATTCTGCTTATTATGTACCCTTTCCCTTTGAATCACCCGCTGTACTATGCTATTAACCTGCATCTGACAGGTCTAACAATTAAAAGAACAAGGGTCACCTCTGTAACAAGTTAATAATAATGCTGTATTATAAGCTTAGAGCATCTGACATGCACTATTCCGGGGACCAAAATAACACAGTTATAAATAATTTTTCTGTACGAAATCTGCTGTGGTCATAGTATTATTTTTACAATAGGTTTATCTCTTAGATTTGGTTTGCTAAATTGCTAATCATGGTCATGCAACTACATAGTTAGGTGAAGAAGCAGACGCTTGTTTTGGTTGAGTCTATTATGTTTTGTTTAGGGGGTTGAGTTGTCATACACAAAGTTACAATTTATATGCATTTATTTTTTTCCAATGATTGTTATTATCTTAAATGCTTCTGGGATTGTTGTTTTATCAATTCATTTGTAAATAAGATTGTTATATGTCTATTAACGGAATAATTTTAATGAACACCAAATTAGTTCACACCTACATGTGTATTGGTAACGTGATGGTTTAAGCAATGAAAACACGTCAATTTATTATAACCCAGGCAGAGAAAAAAGTGTGCAAAGAGTAAATCGATAATCTTTATGTAGCCAGCAAACTTTGAATTGCAAGTATTTTTCATATCTTTTCGGCAGGATAAACTGTCCGAGGATTCGTATCGTAAAATGACTGCCATTTACAGTATCAAGTGATTATCCCAAGCACCACCGCGACTTAGCGCGGGAATTTTAATTATAGCTAACCTCGGCGCGTATACCTTTTTCATATTTTATTGTAATAAATATTTACAAACTGTGTCTTTCGGGTTTTTTTATCAATATATAACCAATAATGATGTTAATATGAATAAATAATCATATCTCAAATCTTTGACTATGATTTACAATGAAATTCTACCTTAAGTGTATTAAAAGGTTTTTAATTTCCCTGTAATTTTATTTTGTGATTATGCTTCAAAGCAGTCAATTGACCTAGAATTTCTTTTATATTTTTGATTTCCTTGAAATCATTTTTCTCATCTGAAGGCATGCAACTTTAATATGGTGATACATTAATTACATTCCATGAAAATGTTTAAAGATATAAAAATATCTCATGGCATGTTTGTTTCATTTTACATTACACCTTTAATTCAGCAAACATAAAGTCTTCACAAAAAGTAGTATGCAATCGTACTTATATTACATACGAATGTATGTAATATTTTTCTTGTTATTAAACATATTTAAATGGTCTTCAGTGTGCGCAAGTCTATAGATATATATGTGCAACTGGTACCAACAGTTGCAGGGTTCTCACAAAGAAGGAGCCTTGGGACTCCCAAGCACAAAAAAGTAGGAGTTTCAGGTCACATTGAATATGTTAAGCCATCTTTGCTGCACTTATATGCAGTTGACAAATATGATGTATAGTAAGGGGTTGGGGGTCAGAGTTTGAACAGAGGAAAAGCTTATTCAGGAAAATGGTAATATGCCCAAAATGAAAAACACTGTACCATAAAAGTGATTCAAAAGATTTGAAATAAAATTTCAAAAACATACATCATCAGACCATTATTCTGTTTTCTTACACACCCCCCCCCCCCCTCCCTTAAAAAAAGAAAATATTCATTGTATGGTACAAACACTTTACTGGTAAATTGGCTCCATCTTAACTAATGTAAACAATATCTTTAGTAAATTTAAGTCTTTAAACTCTATTTTTTAGTGTTATTACACACATTTTGATAAACAAAACATATCTTCCTTTTGGTTATGATTTTTTAAATTATAAAAAAGCGGGCATTTCGCGGGTTCGAAAATATGTGACAATTGAAAATTTGTCTGTTTCCTGCAGAAACATTCACAATTCTACTTGTTGTTGATTTTGATCATATAAGATTAAATATTTTTTTATTATTTTAAGATTGTTACTCATCGGCTATTTCAACAGGCATTAATTATCTTTCTCTACTTTTGCTATTTGGCAATTGGTATAAGAATAGAGAGTAAGTATTTTGTATGGAAGTCAAAATACTACCTTTATCACATACCCTTGCCGTTTTTGCGACTCCGTAAAATGGTATTGCAAGGCCGTGCATATTTTTTGACGTGACGTCATTTGCGTTATAAACATGGCGTTAAGACATGCTAAATATCAGCGTTAACACTATACGCACATAAATGAAAAATGGCCGTTTTTTTACTTCAAACGGTCAATATTGTTTGATATGTGATAAATAAAACTATCTATGTATGTTTTTCTGTGATTTACTCGGATGTCGTGTTAAATGTATCATTAAAATTACTATAAGCACTACTCGATATAACGACCTGTCTCACTGTAAGACAGATAAAAGACAGATAAAAATAGTACGCCCAATCGGGATCACAATATATTTAAAAATATTATATTTGTCTTACCATTTAAATTTTTTTTAAATTTCTTAAATGATACAGATTTGAAATTTGAATGTTTTTAACAAATTAGGCAGATGTTGTAAGATTGGGTTTGATATTTGAAATGAATGCATATAAATTACAATATACGGCATCGGATATGAAAACATATATTTACTTAAATGATATTTCAATCTTAAGTAAAGAAAAATTGAAAGCAGGTTGGGACTGTACACTTGTTTACATTGCGTCATCATCGCTCCCATGT